GGTTTAGGCTTCAGGGGGTTTGGGGTTAGGAGTTTAGGGGTTTAGGGGTTCAGGGGTTAGGGGTTTAGGGGTTTAGGGGTTTAGGGTTTAGGGGTTTAGGGGGTTTTGGAGTTTTTGGGTTTTGGGGTTTAGGGGGTGTAGGGTTTAGGGGTTTAGGGGTTTAGTGGTTTAGGGGTTTGGGGTTCAGGGGTTTAGGGTTTATTTGCATACTTGGGGTCCCAAGGATAGGGTCTAGGAGCGAGCTCATGTTTCCAGCCCGGCTTTGAAGGTTTATGCTTTGGATTTTTGAGTTTTCTGTCGGGGTACTGCCCTATCATCCAAAACCAGAAGCTCTCGATTCCTCCAGCCCTGACCCTTGCAACCTTTAAGTCGTATAGTTTAGGGTTTAGGGGTTTAGGGTTTAGGGGTTTAGGGTTTAGGGTTTAGGGTTTAGGGGTTAGGGTTTAGGGTTTAGGTATAGAGTTGATCTCCGGTTTAGGAGGCGCAACCTGGACCCCAAGAGACCTGTATTTGTATGACTGCCTCATCATTCCAGGCTCCTTGTATACGTCCTCCAAAAGGTAGGTTCGCTGGATTCCGCAAGGGGTTCAAGATTTAGTAGCTTTAAAGTTTGAAGTCTAGGTTAGAGTTCAGGGTTCAGGGTTTAGGGTTATGGCTAACGGTTTAGGGCTCAGGGTTAAGGGCTTAGGGTCTAGAGTACTGGGGGGTCTGGGGGCAGAGAGTGGGGAGGCAATTACCGCGCTTTCGTGATTGTCGAAGGCATCCTCAAGAAAACGCATGAGGTCCTAAATCCTATGGTAACTGCTAACTCCATAAACCCGAAACTCCAAATCGCTGGATAAATAAACCCTCTCGGACCAAGAATCTTAAACCCAAAAGCCTAAACCCTAGACCCTAAACCCTAAACCCCTAAACCCTATAAACCCTAAACTCTAAACCCTCAACCCAAAAGCCTAAACCCTAATCCCCAAAGCCTAACTCCTGGATGGCAGGATCAGAAGACGCAGACTAACTGGCCGCTGCGGATCTTCGACCATGCAGGCAGCTTGGATGTCGAGCTCGGAGTTTGAAAGGGTTTTTCTTTAAAGGGTTTAGGGCGTTTAGGGTTTAGGGGTTCAGGGGTTAAGTAGGGTTTTTGGGTTTGGGGCTACCTTTAAAGAATCTATATAGTTTGCCTCCTGCAGGGGTTTGCTGAAGGTTGCGATGAAGAGTTCACCTTAAGAACCCCAAACCCTCTTTTTTGTAGGTTCTTAATATAAACCCTAATATGGGATGTATAGGGACCCTACAAAAAAGTAGGTTTTGGGTTCTTAAGGTATGGCTGAGCATTTATCGAGTTCAGGGCCGAGGGTCTAGAGTTGAAATTCTAAGGTCCCCTACGGAAATCGCCGGGGTCCTGGGGTTTAGGGTTTAGGGTTTAGGGGTTTGGGGTTTAGGGTTGAGGGTTTAGGGTTTAGGGTCCCGCACCGTACTCAGAATAATGGCAAGGCCCCTCCGGTCCTCCATGAAAGAGATAATTGGGAGTTTCCGAAAATTAGGGGTACACTTATTTTGGGGTCTTTATATTAAGGATCCTATTATTTAGGGTGCTATATTGGGGCCCCCTATTTTTGGAAACTCCTATTTGGCAATGATCACAATCGCTTCTGAGTGGTCAGCGTGTCTTTGAGGGTGTACAAATGTCCTTGATGGTTGCATCGATTGCAACAAGCACCACGGAAACAGTAGCACACAGGGTATCGCAGGTCAAAGCAAAAGCTTCAATAGCAGAGACATTGGCCGCGGTACACGTCCTTGGAATTTTAAATTCCCTGCAATGTCCTCACTCCTCAGTAAACTTCCACGGCCCATTTTGGTTTGGGACGACTTCAGGCCGCGCCGGAACCCTATGCCATAAAGCCCGAAGTACATTCTCAAACCTTAAGCCCCCAAACCCGGCACCGCTGAAGCCTAAACTCCAAAGCCTAAGCCCCTAATGGCCCTAACTAAACCCCTTACCCTAAATCCTAACCCTAAACCCTAAACCCTAAACCCCAAACCCTAAAACCCCTGAGCCTTAACCTTTGCAGTTTCGGGCTTTAGCCCTGTAGGGTTTAAGGGTTGAGGGACTTAGGCGGCTCAGGCTCTGGGGCTTATCTAAGGACTTTAGGAGGGACCCCGAATAGGGACCCTTAATCCCATTACCTTAAATAACCATTGCATAGTCCTTATATACCCCTTATATATATCTATATATATATATATACATACATACAGGTAGTCTCCATAGTAAGCCCAATAACCTACAAGGGTCCCTATTAAGAGTCCCTTCTAACTAAAGCCCTTAAAGTTTAGGGTTTAAGGGTTTAGGGGCTTAGGCTTTGGGGCGGTTTTAGGTTTTAGGGCTGAAGGTTCAGGGTTCAGGGTTTTAGGGTTCAGGGTGTGGGGTTCAGGGTTTTATTCAGGGTTTAGGGAGTAGGGGAAGCACCGTAAGACAGAGGTCCGGCAATTGAGTAAAGATGGCCGCTGAGCTGTTGCCAGATAATCTAGTCACACTGCATCGCTCCCTTCCTCGAAAAATTCAGGTCACAACAGTAGGCCCCTAGCCGTCGCCCTGCCTTCAATTTCACATTTCCGTGCGTCCCTAAACCCGACATTCTAAACCCATACACATATGGGGGTTTCCGAAAATAGGGGACCCTAATATAGTACCCTAAATAATAGGATCCTTATTAGAAGGACCCCAAAATAAGGCACCCTGATTTTCGGAAACTCCCATATGAGCCCCGAAGCCCTGAACCTATAAGCCCTGAACCCGCACACCCATCAAGCCCTAAGTCCAAACCCAAAACCTAGACCCAAAAGGGTTTAGGGTTTAGGGTTTCTAAATTCCTTTAAGAGACCTTTTAAGGAAACCTTGAAGGAACCCAAAACCCCTTGCCCGAGGACAGGAGCACTTGATCCCAAACCGTCCTGGGCAGACCCTTGGGCCTGCAAGCTGGGGCCCAGGGCGTCGGGTTTGGGGGGGTTTGGGTTTAGGGTTCCTTTAATGATGTCTATAAGGGCTACCATAAAGGGCTTAGGGTTTGAGACTGTAGGGTCTGTAGAGGCTTTAGGATTAGGGTTTAGGCTTTAGGGTATTTAGTGTTTAGGGTTTACCTAGAGCAACCAAGATACCTTGAACAAGATAAATGTACAGTTGTTTAGGTTCACATCCCTGTTGTAAAAGGGTAGTTTTCTGAATTAGGGTCCTGTTGGGGCTCCCTTCTAGAGGTGCCGTACTATTTTGGGGACCCTAAAAGGACTTTAATCTCGAGAACTACCCAAAAGGTACCTTGGTTAACCTAGATCGTCTGTTGGGTTTAGTGGGGATGGTTCGCCATAGGTTGGTTGTGCTTTAAGTTTTAAGTTTTAAGTGTGTCTAGGATGTGTTTAAAGTTGTCTTGTATCCTTTGGATTCTATGGACAGTTCCAGAATAATAGGCTTTGTGTTGTTATTGCTTGGGATGGGGCTAATTCAGGGGTGTGTATGCGTAGAATTATGAAATGCTACCTTTCAGTCTTTATATACAGTTTACTGTGGTAGAACGCTCCCAAACTCTATCCGAACATATTCGGTATTAACTTTACTCTTGCCACCGTGGGCAATTAATATCCACGTCTAGACCCCGTTTTGCTGTAGTGAAGTATACCCCCCGAAACCTCATTCTTTTTCGTACTGCTCCTACGTACACTGACTAAATCCTTTCAATGACTTCAATATTGGGAACAGGCCTCAATAAGAACCCCTATAAGACCCGACAGATCCCGTAAGACCCAGCTTTACAGCCCTGCGTCTTGCATAGTCCAGCCCAGAGGGTCCAAAGTTTAGGGGTTTAGGG